GATTGATTTTTTATCGCCCAGATGGCCAAACAAGTGGCCGTCACTCTTACTTTTCTCCTCATCCTGCCCCAACTCCCCCCTTGCATTCTGCTTCCGCGCGGCCTGGAGCGCCGAGAGGCACACGATGAGCGCCCGCATGGCCGCGAGCTCGGGGCGGGGGGCTGGCCCCCAAGCGCGCTGGGCGTCAGCTCTGTCGAACGGTTGCGGATGAAGAACATGAAAGCAAATGGGGGAGGGATGGAACGAGGAGGAAACGCAATGCCACGCACATAATGAGTAAGCAGACTGCCGCACCTTTGATCCCCTCCCCGAGGGGCCCCCTCTCGGAGGGGGCCGTTGCCCTGTCTTATCGCGAGTGTGCTGAAGCCCCTCTTAAGGGGTTCCCCTCTTAAGGGGTTCCATCACTCGCCAATCCATCGCGCGGTCCCCTCACGGAGGGGCGCCCCTGCGATGAGGGGGTGTCGTCTAGCACTGGAGAGGGCGCTCTGCCAACGGGTATGGCGGTGGCAATGGCGATGAAGACGGTAAGGATGATGATGATGATGGATGCGATGATGAGGATGGATGCGATTAGTCGCCCAAGCGCTGTGCCACTAAGCGCTCAGCCTCCGCCTTAGCAGCTTCCTTGGTGTCAGCCACGGTGCCGTCGACCAAGGCCTTCTTCAGCTCTGCGCCGATCTCCCTGAGCGTGGCCTCGTCCAAGGTGTCCTTGTACTTTTTCCCGCCGAAACTCACAAACTGGTTCTTCTCACCGTGCGTCCGCTTCAACCCGATAGAGTGGTCCCTCTTGTAGTACATCACGCTGTACCCGCGGTCGGCGTGGCCAGCGGGGGGCCCAGCGCCGACCGAGGGCTCATCTGCAGCATCCACGGGCTCATCGGGTTCCAGCTGCTCTTCCTCCTCCCCCTCATCGTCCTGGTCCGTCTCCGTGTTCGCGGCGGCTGCACTGGGCTTTCTCATTGCAGGCTTCTTTGCCACTACATGTCCTGCTGGCTTCCCTTTTTTGCACGCTTTCGCCTTCGCCTGCGCGGCTGCCGCTCTTGCTGCCAGGAGGGCGTTGGGCTGCTCCGTCTTCTCCGTCCTGCCGTCGGGAAACACGGCATCCAAGAAACCATCGCCTCCTTTCGTCAGTGTTCCCCGCTCCTCCCTGTCTGCGAACTTCATCACCATGCACATCGGCTCGGAGTTGAAATCGAAATACGTGGCCAGGGGATCCTGGGGCGGGTCTCTCACTTGCCCCTCCCGAGCTCCCCTCCCGAAGGGGTTCGGTTACGCCGTGAAAAATCAAAACTGCCCCCCTCCCCCCCCCCACCCTGCCCGCCCCCTCCGATCCTCCTTCGGGGCCGCGGCGGGCGGGTCAGCGAGCTCGACGTCCTCCTGCGACGAGAACACCACCATCGGGCTCCACGTGGCAACCTTCTGTTTCTTCCCTGCCGGTTTCGGAGGCGGGCTGATGCCGAAGGCGTTCTTGATGACATTGCGCCTGCTGCCCCCATCTGCGCTGGACGACGCGGCGGCCGTGGAAGATTTTGGAGGGTTCATCTCTATGTCGGAGCTGCTGTCGGCGCGTTTTTTGCTCTCTCCTGTGCTTGGGCTTGCCCTGCCAGGCTGCAGCCCCATTGCCACCCCAAGCATTTTTGTGTGCGCCTCCAGCTTCCCCCCCGTCTTGGCGATGTAGAACTTGTTGCAAACGTGGCTGACAGCGTTGGCCACCTCCTGGCAGAAACGCCTACACTCTTCCTGGTGCATGTTCGGCTTCTGCTTCAACACGACGTCCTGGAGGTTCTTCCATTTGACGCGTGTGGTGAGCTGCGCAAGCGGCAAGAGAAACGGCATGTTGTTCTTCATGAAGTCATCTATGCCCCCTTGCAGTTGGCATTTTTCGATGAGATCAATGTGCTGTTTCACGAGCGGCTTCAACTGTTCCTCTGTCACAGAAGAAGCCCGTATCTTCACCTCCGTCTTGCCCTTGACCATTGCCCACCCCCCGCGCAGTGCGCGCAAGCAAGAGTAGCGCTATGTGCCCTCGAGCCTTCGCAGCTGCGGGATGTTGTAACATGCGCGCAATGTGATGCAGCCGATACCCCTCGCTCAGGGGACGCATGCCCCCTCACTCAGGGGATCCTTAACAATGCGCGAGCGAAGAAAAGTACGACCTGGCCAAAAATCATGGGTTGGACTATAGTGCGACCCAAGGAAAGTGCCAGGTCGATCTATAGTTCGACCCCGCACTATAGATCGACCTTGGAGTCTCAAGGTGGGGGAGGTGCCCAGAGGAGCCCAGAACACCTCCGGCACCGTTTCCGGACAGATCCGGTGGATCCGGTGGATCCGGTGGATGATCCGGTTGATCCGCCGACGAATCCCAAACCGGCGCCCTCGCTTGAGACATCCTCACAAAACCGGCCCCGGGGGAGGTGCCCAGAGGAGCCCAGAGCGGCCTCCGGCACCGTTTCCGGACAGATCCGGTGGATCCGGTGGATCCGGTGGATCCGCCGACGAATCCCAAACCGGCGCCCTCGCTTGAGACATCCTCACAAAACCGGCCCCGGGGGAGGTGCCCAGAGGAGCCCAGAGCGGCCTCCGGCACCGTTTCCGGACAGATCCGGTGGATCCGATCCGCTGACGAATCCCAAACCGGCGCCCTCGGGAGACATCCTCGCAAAACCGGCCCCAGAGGAGCCCAGAGCGGCCTCCGGCACCGTTTCCGGACAGATCCGGTGGATCCGTGGATCCGGTGACGAATCCCAAACCGGCGCCCTCGCTTGAGACATCCTCACAAAACCGGCCCCGGGGGAGGTGCCCAGAGGAGCCCAGAGCGGCCTCCGGCACCGTTTCCGGACAGATCCGCTGGATCCGGTGGATCCGCCGACGAATCCCAAACCGGCGCCCTCGCTTGAGACATCCTCACAAAACCGGCCCCGGGGGCGGTGCCCAGAGGAGCCCAGAGCGGCCTCCGGCACCGTTTCCGGACAGATCCCGATCCGGTGGATCCGGTGACGAATCCCAAACCGGCGCCCTCGCTTGAGACATCCTCACAAAACCGGCCCCGGGGGAGGTGCCCAGAGGAGCCCAGAGCGGCCTCCGGCACCGTTTCCGGACAGATCCGGTGGATCCGCCGACGAATCCCAAACCGGCGCCCTCGCTTGAGACATCCTCACAAAACCGGCCCCGGGGGAGGTGCCCAGAGGAGCCCAGAGCGGCCTCCGGCACCGTTTCCGGACAGATCCGGTGGATCCGCTGGATCCGGTGACGAATCCCAAACCGGCGCCCTCGCTTGAGACATCCTCACAAAACCGGCCCCGGGGGAGGTGCCCAGAGGAGCCCAGAGCGGCCTCCGGCACCGTTTCCGGACAGATCCGGTGGATCCGCCGACGAATCCCAAACCGGCGCCCTCGCTTGAGACATCCTCACAAAACCGGCCCCGGGGGAGGTGCCCAGAGGAGCCCAGAGCGGCCTCCGGCACCGTTTCCGGACAGATCCGCTGGATCCGGTGGATCCGCCGACGAATCCCAAAACCGGCCCCGGGGGAGGTGCCCAGAGGAGCCCAGAGCGGCCTCCGGCACCGTTTCCGGACAGATCCGGTGGATCCGTGGATCCGACGAATCCCAAACCGGCGCCCTCGCTTGAGACATCCTCACAAAACCGGCCCCGGGGGAGGTGCCCAGAGGAGCCCAGAGCGGCCTCCGGCACCGTTTCCGGACAGATCCGGACAGATCTGGTGGATCCGCGCCCCCGGTGCCCAGAGGAGGAATGAGGAGGAGGAGGAGGAGGAGGAGGAGGAGGAGGAGGAGGAGGAGGAGGAGGAGGAGGAGGAGGAGGAGAGATGATGGAGCTGTGGGGTGGAGGAGGACAGACGGAGGCAAGAGAAGGATGGAGGAGGAGGAGGAGGAGGAGGAGGAACCTCATCCTCACCCTCGCCAACAAGCGCACGCACCTTCTTCTATATACAGAAACTCCCGATCAACCGCAGAGCGGCCGGCTAGTACCATGAGAGGTGTTTGATCAACGGGCGCGCGAGCATCTTATTAATCACAATGGATGACCTGTGGTGTGGATCAGGGAACCCCCTGGGATAATCAGAGCTCATATTTGATTCGAACGATGAGCAACCACGCCGTGAAGTTGTAGTATCCGAGGGGGAGCTGATGAACACACGGGGTTGGGGTATTCATATTCTTCTGGAACAGAAGATTGTATAGGAGGCGTCGACGCGCGGCGACGAGGCGAGCGACGGGGCGGCGACGGTGGAACCATGACCGCCAAACCGACGCGCAGGTCCAAACGAGGGGCGGCGACGAGGCGGCGAGCGACGAGGCGACGGCAACCACGAGGTGGCGGACCCGACGCGCAGGCCAAACTGATGAGCGGCGCAGCGGCGGTGACGGGGCGGCGCCGGCGACCACATTGCCGCCAGACAGACGCGCAAACCCATACGACGGGCAGCGACGGGGCGGCGACAGGGCGGCGACGGCGACAACAGCGTCGACGGGCGGCGACGAGGCGGCGAAGTGGCGGCGACCGGGCGGCGATGGCAACCAAAGCCGCCAGACCGACACGCAAGCGCAGACGACGGGCGGCGACGAGGCGGCGAGCGACGGGGCGGCGACGGCACCAAAAGTCGGCGGACCCGACGCGCAGGCCCCGACGACGGGCGGCGACGAAGTGGCGACGAAGTGGCGACGGGGCGGTGACGGCAACCACGGGCGCCAGACCGACGCGCAAGGGCAGACGACGGGCGGCGAGGAGGCGGCGACGGAACGGCAACGGCGACAACCTAGCCGCCAGACCGATGAGCAGGACCAGCATCTCAGAACTGAAGTGGGAAACCCTGAGAGCATGGAAGAAGGACGAAACATGTTTCGTTCCATTGGCGCTGGCACGAAGTTGCAGTGTCTCATCGCAGGGAGGGGGACATATGAACATGAAAGGAAGTACATGTCACACATGTGCGCTATTATGAAGTTGCGGTGTGCATCAATCAAGCATGCGCACGGGAGGCCGACCTGAAGGCGTCGACCTACATCCGCGAGAGCGAGTCCAAGGCCTTCGAGGCGGAAAAGGTGGAGCTCGTGGACATAATCGACACGCTCAGCCGCGCCATCGGCATCCTCGAGAAACACGCGAGCGCGGCGCTCCTGCAGGCCGATGGAGCTACGAGCTTGGTGGAGGCCCTGCACGTCATGGTGCAGGCCTCTTATATGGTGGCTTTGGGGACCTTCCTGGGGCCTGCCTATCGGATCTGTTCGATTCTAGTTCGGTTCTAGGTCGACTCTAGCTCGGCTCTGGCTCGACTCAAGTTCGACTCAAGTTCGACTCGAGGCTCGCTCAAGTCCAGTTCAGTTCGACTCAAGTTGACGGATATTCCACGCAGCATCAAAGAATGAGTGGAGCAAGAGGCTCCAGGACGGTCCCCAGAACGAGCATCCAAGGCCTCTGGCTTCAGCGCCTCGGACGCCCAGCGCCTCACGTCGCTCGTGCAGCAGTCGCAGGACGCCGAGGTCCACCGCCAGAATATGTCCATATCCATTGCTTCGGAGTCGTGCGGGGAGATCTCGAGGAGTGGTTCACGTGGCTATCTGCCGAGTCGCGTTCGCGGGCAGATGCCCATATCCACTACTCCCTGAGTCCTCGGAACACGGCCCTCGAAAGGTAACGAATTGCATAAACATCGAGATGTCCTCGCTGATTTCTTGAATCTGCACTGGGCCCCCCTGACAGCACTTCCGGAGCCGCTCATGGCGCTCTCCACGCGCCAGGGAGGGGTGTCCAGCGCCGGTCCAAGAATTCCGAGCGGACCTCTGACAGTTTATGTTCATGCAGCTGTGTGTTCCTCTTGACCCAGCGGAAGTGGATATTGCCATATTCTCGCGGCGCACGAGGGCGACAACGAGGGCGCCCCTAGCGCCTCCGTGTACAAGGGCCACAGCGGCGGCATCGTGGAGGTGCTGCAGGACCTGCTTGACAAGGCCAGCGGTCCTTGTCGACCCGATTTGATAACGGTTCTTGCCGGCTCGACCTGATTCGATTATGGATTTGGAAGAACAAATAGCGGCATGAACACATGTTTTCGAAGTTGGTTCCACGTGGATTTTTTTGGGATCAGCGCCGAACACCCTTTCTTCCTCGAGGTATGCTGGCGGTCCGATGCTGCGTAATGCTTGCATGGCGCTGTTGCGTATCCAGGTGTAGCCGAATCGATTCGATTCAGACGCCGTCCCTGTGCTCCCCGATTCGATGCCCGTTCCGGTCCGAGTCGATCTATCGATTCGGTGGTGACCACTCCTCCAAGGCCCAGGTCTCCTTGAAGAACGCGCAGAACAAGGAGACGTCGAACCTGTTCGCCTTCGAGAAGCTCAAGCAGTCCATCGAGGACGAGATCGCCTATGGCAAGAAGGAGCTTGCGGAGGCCAAGGCGGGCATCGCGGCCGCGAGCGAGAAGAAGGCGACGGCCACGGGCGAGCTCGAGGTGACCTCAAAGGACCTCGCCGACGACGTCAAGGAGTTGGGCGACCTGCACGAAAACTGCATGACGACGGCGCAGACCTTCGAGGCGGAGGTTAAGAGCCGTGCGGAGGAGTTGAAGGCGCTCGCGGAGGCCAAGAAGGTCATCACCGAGAATACTGGCGGCGCAGAGTCTCTGTCTTACGGCCTGAGCCAGCAGGCCTTCCTGCAGCTTTCCTCTGGTACAGGCCTCGCGCACTTCGAGGCGGTCCGCTTCGTGCGGGACCTCGGGAAGCGCCAAAGCGCCCCGGCCCTCACTCAGCTGGCCAACCGCATGGCGACCGAGATGCGCGCTGGCGGGGCGTCGGCGGACATCTTCGCCAAGGTCAAGGGTTTAATCGCTGACATGATAGAGCGGCTGGAGAAAGAGGCGGACGCCGACGCTAAGCACAAGGCTTACTGCGATAAGGAGCTCGCCTACGCTGACCAGAAGAAGGCGGACCGCGTGACGGAGATCGAGAAGCTATCCACCGCGATCGACGAGATGTCAGCACGCTCCGCGCAGCTGAAGGAGGAGATCGCGACGCTGGAGAAGGAGCTGGCCACCATCGCCACCGAACAGGCAACCATGGACAAGATCCGCGCCGCGGAAAACGAGGCGTACGTCAAGAACAAAGCGGACATGGAGCAGGGTATCAAGGGCATCCAGATGGCGCTCAAGGTCTTGACCGAGTACTACGCGTCGGACAAAGAGCACTCGGCGGCTGAGGGCGCTGGCCAGGGAATAATCGGCCTGTTAGAGGTGATCGAGTCGGACTTCCAGAAGGGCCTCTCCGACATGACGGGGGCTGAGGAGAGCGCCCAGGCGGAGCATGAGCAGCTCACCAAGGACAACGAGATCGCCACCGCGACGAAAACCCAGGACGCGAAATACAAGACTAAGGAGTCTAAGGACTTGGACAAGGCGACCGCTGAGGCTCGAAGAAGAGCAAACACCATAGACATCAACTTTCGGAGGTCCGCCAGGATCTCTTGGAACGGCGGTGGACTCCCTCCCTGGCGCGCGAATCGCGCCAGGGACGGCGGCGGAGGCGCCTCCAGGAAGCTCCAGCGCTGTTCCAAGAAATCCAGGTGTACCTCCGCAATTGTATGCTCATGCCGTTGTCTTTTCCTCTGGAGGCGGAGTCGGACCGCGTCGGGGTGCAGACGGAGCTCGAAGCGGTGGAGAAGTACCTGGCCAAGCTGCACGAGCAGTGCGACGAGACCGCCCCGACGTACGAGGAGCTTGTCAGTCGCCGCTCTGCGGAGATCGCTGGTCACCAGGGACAACGGTGGGGGCCCCCAGACGGTGCGGTGACCACATCGTGTGGTGAGTCAGTGGGGATTCGGGGTCTTCGAGCGCTTTCGTCGGTTCGTTGAGGTTTTCCTTCCTCGGGAAGCGTTCTTGGGATGCCCAGATCGTCCCGAACGGCCGCGGGAGACCAGAGTTATGGCCCGAAGAGGACCGTTGTGGTGAGTCAGTGGGGATTCGGGGTGGTCGCACGGTTTCTGGAAGTCGGGCCGTTCTCCGAGTTCGCCTCGGGCGATTGAGGCTTTCAGGGTCTCATAACGTTGCAGTGATGGACCATGTGCTGAGGTCTCCGAGGACTTTGAAGTCACCGCGCATTCTGTCACCGCACCGTTTGGGGACCTCCAGAAAGACATGGGGGACTGGCCCAGGAGGGTGGGGTTGGTTTTGGCCCCCAGTCGCCCATTCATCGCCAATGGGGGCCCAGGCCCCCCACCGCGCTCAGGAGCGCGCGGGCTCCCCATCGGAAGCCTATCGCTGATTTATCGGCGACGCATCGTCGATTCCAAGTCGCTTCCCCCCAGAATGAGCCAATCCTCCATGTTCTCTGATGGCTTGACGGCTTTTCTCCAATCGGCTTGCGGGGATCAAGCCCGATACTGGCACTTCGAGATATATCCAATGTAATCCACATAGGTCGAGGCACATCCTGAGATGCCAAGGTAATTCTGGGGAAGTCGTGGGAGCTCCAGCGCGAGTCGAAGGACAGCAGAAGGCATTAAGCTCTTACTGGAAGATCAGTCGTTCCGCCTCAGGTCTGAGGTAAAATATCGGCGATACACAGTCGATTCCAAGTCGCTTTCCCCTCTCTCCCCCGCTGGGGCAGTCTCCCCTACAGCCAAGGCGATGAAGAAGGAGCACTCTGGGCTTTGGAGGGGCTCTGGTCTCCAGGCCTTTCCTTGGAGCTAGGAAAGCCGCTTCGTTCCTTATTCAGCTTTCCAAGTGGCAGCGCGATGACTGTACAGTCTCGTCGTGGCCAGAAGCGCCCCTCCGTTTTTCAGTCGGCGTCCTTTCTGGCAGCACGGTGATTGTATCGCTTCCCCTCAGGTCTCAAGCAGGCGCTGCAGATCCTTGAAGGCGAGGCGGCCCTGGTCCAGCAGCGGAGCAGGCATCTGACGCTGCATGGCGTGCGGAGGCACTTGGCGTGATGAGGGCCGCCTCTTGGCGCGCGGAGAGCCCCCTCCCCGGGCGGGGCGCGTTGGAGTCGATGAACAAATTGCGCCACCGAGGATAGCCGCATGCTTATCTTATGTTCCGTGTGCTCATATGTGCATCATGTCGTGCCCTGCTTCTCCACGCTTGTAATTAGCATGATCCTCGTATTGCATTCCTCTGCGCAGGATATCACTCATGGCTTCTCGTTCAAGGAGGCCGTCCTGACCCGGCGACTCATCACTCTGAAGGTCTTCCACGCAGAAGGGAGTTGGAAGATACGTTGTGTCCTGAAAGTGTCAGGTCTCGAGTCGGCCTGATCAGCCGAATAGAAGAATTTCGCCGCGTCCCACCCCGCTGCCAGGGCCGCCTATCGCGCGCGGTGCGCGACGCCGTCCACGTCGTGCAAAGCGTCGATGCCATGATGCTCCGCTGCGAGTCGAAAAGTCTGCCGCCAAGGGGCCACGTCTTTCACACCCTCGTAGAATTTAGCTTTGATTCCGCCGAGCATGCTGGGCCGCACGGCGAACAGGTAAAGGACAGGGACATCAATTTCGTGTTTCGGCTATCCGTTGGAGTACCTGTTGAGGACTTGCCACAGGGTGGCATCGTCGCCCCTCCGTTGACAACAGGTGCTGTGGGCCATCAGCACGCTTCGTCGCAAATGACGTATACCTTTCGACAACATTCGTTTCCGCCCGTGCGCACAGAAACGCTGCCGTCACCGACTCTCGCAGGTCGTGGGCCGAGGTCCTTGTATCCAGCGGTCGTTTGTCTCCGCAGGCCCAGGAGGCATCTGAATGCGAGGGGTGCCAGTGGAACGAACAGAGGTAGTCAGCGTAACAGTTGGCGACCGCTGCGAGGTGAGACCTGCATGGGCATGGCCTTCGTCGGCTTGGTATCCGAAGGCGTGACAGACGCGGAAAACAGACACTTTGGGTCAGCGCCCGCGTTGCCGGCCTCGTGCGCTCACCGAACCTTCGCTGGCGGCGGGCCATCGTATTCCCCCCATCCTTCCTTGGCAGATCAGAAGGATTTGTTTTGTGAAGCTGGCCAGATGCAGGGTTCAGCAGGTCTGTTTATCTAGGTGCACTTCAGGTGACGTGTCTTCTGAAGTGAACTAACCTGACATGTGGCGCCAGCTTGCACGAATTAGCACTAACACCCGTTGCAAGGGTTCATGTTGCGGGCGGAACAATCGCGGCGTCGGGATTCCGTGTTGCCCACTTCCTTTTCCGAATTCCGTCTGCGGTAGCCGCGAAAGGTCTTTGACGTTAACGCCCCAGGCGTGGCTTTTTCTCCCCCTCGAAATTATCAGCTCCCCCTCGGGGGTTGGTGGGCGAGTCTGGGCCCCCCCCCCCGGAGGAAAAGGCGGGGGGGCAGGGGGGGGCAGCTGCCTTGGGGTTTTAATTTTTCCATTCGGAGGTTCGCCCCCCGAGGCTTTTATTTTTTTCGGGGGGGGGGGGGGGGGGGGGAAGGGGGGGGGGGCGCCTCGACCCCCCCCCCCTCGAGGCTTCTTTTTGCCCCTCCCCCCTTGAAGTTTCCCGCAGCGGCGGCGGCGGCGGCGGGCGGGGGGGGGGTTCGACGGAGAGGGCGGGGGAGGGCGGGGGGTTGCTAGAGGGGGGACCCTGGGGGGCGGGGGGCCGCCCCGGGATTTCGAAGGGGGGCCCCGGAGGGGCACCCACGGAGGGTTCGGGAGAGACGCCAAAGCGCGTTGGTTCGCTTCCAGCGCACTTCGTGCTGCCAGCAAACGGCGCCAACGAAACAATCACAAACATCAAGTGATGGCGAACCGCAGAACCAATTGACATCTGCGAAAATCGACCGTCGATAGAATTCAACGAAGTCGAACGGTGACGGTCAGCGATGGCCATTCGCGAGCAGCGACAAGGGACGAACATGACCGAGAAGCCAATGAGAACCGATCGCGGGTGAAAATCAACCAACAAGCCATTCAAGCCAATACAGTGCTACAGCTGCCGCTTCTATGCAACATCCACTTTCGATGAAGACGACGCGGAACAGTCAAACATAGACTGTCGAAGAAAAGACAGTTACGAAACCTATGGGACACATTGGCTTCCAACGAACGTAGACAAGCAAATCGATTGACATTGAACGTTGACAACGTCGATGGAATTTCAATTCGACGAATTTCATCACAAACAATGTCTATGACATTTCGGCGAGGTCGTCGAACATGTGCGAACATCGAAAAATCATCCGTGCGCGAGGCCCCCATTCAGGAATCCTTGAGGAGGCCCCCGAGAAACCACCCCGAGCAGTTGGCGTTCGTTGGAGTCGGAGGCTGTTTAGAAAATGGGTGTGCAGGCGGCGGGCGGCGGGCGGGCCCGGGCCATGTAGCTCCTAATGGTGGTCTCTTGCAGCAGCAAGCAGTGTAGCAGATACGTGTTGTGTTGGAGACGGGGGCTGTGTAGTAGATGCGCGATGTGTTGGAGAACGGGGCTGTTGAGTAGACTCAGTGTTGTATTGGAGGCGGATGCTGCGTAGTGGAAGGGTGCCGTGTTGGGGACGGAGGTTGGTGAGTTGATAGGCGCCGCGTTGGAGAATCGAGCGGGGCGGGCTCAGGGCGGCAGCGGGTGGTCGGCGGGCGTGCACGGGGTTTCGGTTCAACTGTTAAGGATGAACTCTTGCAGCGGGAGGATTTGTAGTAAGTTATATGGGTGTTGTGTCGGAGACGGGGGCTGTGCAATGGATCGGCGCTGTGTTCGTGGCGGAGGTTGTTGAGTAATCGATGTTGCGCTGGGGAGGCTGAGGCAGTTGAGTAGGTTGGTGTCGTATTGGAGCCAGAAGCTGCGTAGTAGAAAAGGTGTCGTGTCGGGGACGGGCGCTGTTTTGAGTAGGTAGTTGTTGTGTTGGAGAAGCGAGCGGAGCCTCCCAAAGGATTTCGCCCCTCGGGTTCTTAGAGGTTTCGCAGGGGCGGGGGCCTCCCAGTGCCTTCTCAAGATTTTCCCCCGTATCCTGAGGATGGGGTGTTGCGATGCCCCAAATCCAAAGGATGGGATTATTGTTGTTCTCCGATCGCGGTAACTCCTTCCACTCACCTCCCTTCTCCTCTTTTCCTCACGAAAGGAAGGTGATGATGCGGGTGATGATGATGATGACGATGGCGATGATGAAACTGAAGATGGGGATGATGAGACATGATGACGATACTGCAGATGATTATAGTGATGAGCATTCGATGTGTATGATGATGCTGATGCTGGTGGGCAGGATGGTGGCATTGCTGACGATGACGACAACAATGATGATGGCAGCAATGATGATGATGACGATGCTGATGCTGATGCTCATGGTGGCGATGATGGTTATGGTGATGCTGGTGATGCTGATGAGTGTTTCTGATGGTTGCGACGACAATTATGCTGATGGTGTCGGTGGCGATGTCGATATTGATGCTAATGCTGTTGATGATGGTGATGATTCTGATGGTGAGGATCATGATGATGATAGTGGTGGTGATGATGGTGGTCATGACGATGATTCTGATGATGCTGCTGATGATGATGATGATGATGATGGTAGTGGTGGTGATGCTGATGGTGGTCATGATGATGATGTTGATTATGATGATGATGGCGATGTCGATGGCGATGACGACGATGATGATGATGCTGATGCTGATGCTGATGCTGATGATGATGATGATGATGATGCTGATGATGATGATGATGATGATGATGATGATGATGATGATGATGATGATGATGATGATGATGATGATGATGATGATGATGATGATGATGATGATGATGATGATGATGGTGATGATGATGATGATGATGATGATGGTGATGATGATGATGATGATGATGGTGATGATGATGATGATGATGATGATGATGATGATGATGATGATGATGATGGCGGAGCATATTCTGAGGATGCCTCGAGCGGGGCGCGGGTTTCAGCACCCACAAGGGGAAGCCGCCAGGGGGTATCTCAGTCCGTTCGCGTCAGAATGGCGGGGGTGTTCTAGCGGTTTGCCTGTTTGTTGCCCCGACATCTTCTTCTTCCGGAGTAGATGTTGAGGATGTCTTGGGCGAGGCGCTGGTTTTCGCACCCCAGGGGAGCAAGATTTTGAGGATGTCTCGAGCGGTTTGCTAATGTTGGTGGTCAGATTCGTCTGCTGTCCGAGCATTTTCTGAGGGTGTCTCAGGCGAGGCGCGGATGTCCGCACTCCCATGGGGGAGCCGCCAGGGGGTATCTCAGTCTGCCGTTCGCGCCCAGATTGTGTGGATTTCTCAACGGTTTGCTTGTTTGCTGCCCCAATTTCCTCCGCTTTCGGAGTAGATTTTGAGGATGTCGCGGGCGAGGCGCTTGTTTTCGCACCTCACGGGGCACAGATTGCCATTGCGAAGATGTCTTGAGCGGTTTGCCTGTTCAGCTGACCAGACTCGTCTGCGTTCAGGGCAGATTCTGATCCTGTCTCAGGCGAGGCGCTGGATTTCAAAACCCAGGGGGCTCAGAGTGCGAGGATGTCTCAGATTCACTCGTGCTCAAACTCATTCGTACTCAGACTCACTCATACTCAGACTCGTACTCATCATACTCATTCTCAGACTCACTCACACTCAGACTTACGCGCACTCAGTCTCATTCACACTTAGGCCCGCCCACCCTGAGACTCACTCGTAAGACTCACTCGTATTCAGACTCACTCACACTCAGACTCATACTCATCGTATTCATACTCAGACTCCTTTGCATTCTGAAGACGCACTCAGAATCACTTACAATTAGACCCAACCACCCTCATATTCACTCGTAGGCAGACTCACTCGTACCCAGACCCATTCAGACTCAGACTAGTGTTCGTTATATTCATTAGCCTCATACTCAGACCCACTCAGACCCATACTTATCCACACTCAGACCACTCCCACTCAGACTCACTCATACTTTGACTTAGTTACGCATTATCAGACCCTCTTGTACTTAGACTCCCTCACACATAAACTAACTGACATTTACACTCAACCATACGAAAACACGTTTCTACTTCAAGCTCGTTTATATTCGAAAGCCCTTGCGTCTAGACACTCACGGCGGACAGGTCCATGCAAATAGATGCACATGTAGGAAGCTCCACGCAGTGAATAATTACTTCCACCGCGCCCGGGAGGAACACCCACCTCCTCCTCCTCCTCCTCCTCCTCCTCCTCCTCCTCGGGCTCCTGCTCGTGCTTCTCCTGCTTCTTCTCCTCCTCCTCTTCCTCTTCCTCCACCTCCTCCTCCACCTCCTCACCACTCAGTGTCATTCAGAGTCACACTCAGGGTCACTACTCAAGTTGTTATATGGTGATGATGATGACGATGCTATGAAGACGAGATGCCGATGATGATGATAATGATGATGATGATGATGATGATGATGATGATGATGATGATGCTGGTGATGTCGATGATGCTGGTGATGATGACGAGGATGATGATGCTGATGCTGATGATGCTTCAAATGCCGATGATGTTGATGACGATGATGGCGGTGGTGATGGTGAGGATGATGACGATGCTGCTGCTGCTGATGATGATGATGATGGTGATGATGATGATCACAGTGATGACGGTGATGACGATGATGCTTGTGATGATGATTGTGATGATGACGGAGCAGATGTTGAGGATGTCTCAGGCGAGGCGCTGGTTTTCGCACACCAGCGGGGGGGCGCCATGGGGGTATCTCACTCGTCCGTTCGCGCCCAGATTGCGGGGATGTCTCGAGCGGTTTGCCTGTACGCATACCCAACATCATATGCTTTCGGAGCAGATGTTGAGCATGTCTCGGGCGAGGCGCTGGTTTTTGCACGCCCAAGAGGGGGCGCCAGGGGGTATCTCACTCGTCCGTTCGCGCTCAGATCGCGGGGATGTCTCGAGCGGTTTGCCTGTATGCATGCCCAGCATTCTCTTTCTTCCGGAGCAGATGTTGAGGATGTCTCGGGCGATGCGCTGGTTTTTGCACCCCAGTGGGCCCAGATTGCGAGCCCCCCCATGTGGCTCCAACCCTGGGGATTGTACGTGGCTCCCCCTGGGGCACGCATTCTTTTGTGTGTTCCGCGCGGTCGTATGTGTATGTGTATATATATATATGTATATATATGTATATGTATATGTATGTTTAGGTATGTATTTATGTATGTATGTATGTATGTATGTATGTATGTATGTATGTATGTATGTATGTATGTATGTATGTATGGATTGCCCTCTCCCGTGGCTTCAATCTATTGTGTTTTACGTATATTCCTATGTTTTGGGCCTCTCCTGGGGCACGGATCCTCACCATGAGGCCCCAGGAGGCTCCAGGAGGGCTCCAGGAGGTCCCAGGAGGCTCCAGGATGCCGCAGCATGCCCCAAGAGGCCCCAGGAGGCCCCAGGCGGCCCCAGGAGGCCACAGGAGTGGCTTCAATTCTTGTTGTGGTTTACGTATGTTCATACAGATTGGGCATCTCCTGGGACACGAACCCCTAGTGTTTTACGTATGGGCTTATAGATTGCCCTTCCCTTGCGGCTCCAATCCTTGGTGTTTCTCGCGTGTTCCAAAATATTGGGCTTCTCCTGGGGCACGAATCCTTTGTGTTTTCCGTCTGTCCCTATAGGTTGCCATTCTCCTGTGGCACCAATCCTCCGTAGCCATTTTGGCTCAAGCCATTTTGGCTCAAGCCATTTTGGCTCAAGCCATCTGGCTCAAGCGTTCGCACGGTCGTCGCCCCGTGTCCTGGCTCAAGGGTCCGCCTCTGGCGAAAGCCTATCGGCGCGGCCCTTCGCCCGTGGCGCGGATGGCGACGCCCAGAGGGGCTTGGTCGGCCCGCGACGCCGCCCTCCTGGTTGAGGCGGCGGTCCGCGGGGCCGTCTCTGCGAGTGCGCCGCGGCGCACGGTCGCGGCTGTGGCGCGGTCGGCTGTGTCGGCCACCCTTTTCGGGGTGGGCCGCGGGGCCGTGGGCGCCGTGCCGCCGCCGCCCGCTGCTGCTGCTGGTGCTGCTCGCCCTGATCCTCCTGACCGAGCTGGTGCTGCTGGGGCTGACCCTGCGGCGCGAGCCGCGAAGCGCCGCCGCCGCCGCCAGCGCCGTGCTGCGCGGCGCGCGGCCGCCCAGGAGGAGAACAACATGGTCGTGGAGGAGGTGCCCGCTGGGGTGGTCGCTGGAGCTGCCGCTGGTGCTGCTGCTGCTGCGGCTGCAGCGGCGGCCTCCGCCGACGACGACATGGACGTCCTCGAGGACGAGTGGGCGGACGACGTTCGTCGGGCCGCCTCGGGTGCGGCGGCGGCGGATCCCGCTGGAGTGGGAGGAGCTGCCGCCCCTGCCTGGCCGCGGAGGCGCAGGCGGAGGCCCGAACCCGCCCCTGGGCGCGAGGGCCGGTGGGTCGTGGACGCGGAGGGCGCTGGCGCGGCCGGCGCGGCCGCGGGCACGGGGCTGGCACTCGCGAGGGACCCGGGGGCGAAGGGGCAGGCGGACGCGACGGTGGCGGCGGCGGAGCCTGGCGGCGGAGCTGCTGCCTCGGGCGCGGCGACGGGGGCGGCGGCTGCCCTCGAGGACGCGTTCGCCGCGGCGGACGGCGTCCTGCGGAGGGCGGCCGATTGGCGCCCCGAGGCGAGCGACGACCTTCGGCGCTTGCTGGAGGCCGTCCGCTGGCACCCCGCCTAGGCCCAGATGGGGAGTGCCTTCGGTGGTCTGGGCCTTTTCAGGCTCGGCACGGGGTGGATGGTGGCTCGCGTGGCCGCCTCACCTGACGGCGCACACCCACGCGGCGTGGCGAGCGCGCTGCTTCTTGGAGGCCGCTGTTTGCGGTGCCTCCTGGCCGCATTTTGCGGCTCTCGCCTTCTTGGCGGCAGGATCGGTTCGTGCTGCACGGGCTGCCTTGGCATTTAAAAAAAAAGTGGCACCAATCCTAGGCGTTTTACCCCTGTGCTTATAGATCTGGCATCTCCTGGTGCACGGGTCCTGTCCAGGACTCCCCAGGAGGCACCAGGAGCATAGGAAGTCGTAGGATGCCCCAGGATGCCCCAGGATGCTTCAGGAGGTCCCAAGAGGTGCCAAGAGGCCCTAGGACACTTCAGGTCGCCCCAGGAGGCCCCTGCATGCTTCAGGAGGCCCCAGGAAGCGCAAGGAGGTCTCAAGAGGCTTCAGGTAGCCTCAGGGTATTCAGGAGGCCCCAGAAGGCCACAGGAGTGACTCCAATCCTTTTTGTGTTTTACGGATGTTCGTACAGTTGGGGCATCCCCTGGGGCACGAATCCTTAGTGTTCTACGTATGCTCCTGTAGGTCGCCCCTCTCCAGTGGCTCCAATGCTAGATTTGCTACGCATGCTCCTATAGATCGGGCTTATCCTGGGGCCTGATTGCTTGTTTGTTTTATTTTCGTTCCTGTAGATTGCCCCTCTCCTGTGGCTCCAGTCCTAAGGGTTTTTAAGTATGTTCCTATAGAATGGGCCTCTTTGGCGCCACGAACCCTTGGTGTTTTACGTATGTTCCTATGCGTTGCCCCTCTTCTGTGGCTCCAGTCCTGGTCCGCGCCCGGCCTGCGGCCGCACCGAGCTTCGTCCTCACCAGGCTCCGCATCCTTGTAATCCTACGTGTGTTCATACAGATTGCCCCTCTCCTGTGGCTCCAGTCTCAGGTGTTTTACGTATGTTCCCATAGAATGGGCCTCTCCTCTCAGTGGCGTGACTGGCTGTATCACGGTGCAGCCACTGTGTGAGATCTTCTGTGCCAGCCAACGAAGCGCAAGGGTTTCGCACTGCGTTTGCATGTGCACCCCTATCCTTTGCTTCGGTATGGAGGGAGGGATCGCGTAGCCATTTCGATTCAGTCGCGGTCAGTCATACTGAGGCCACTGACTTGCAGATACACTCATCCCGAACTTAGGCATACTCAGGCTCATGCGCATCGGCTCACTCGTACAACTCAGATTCATTCACACTCCAATTCGTATGCAGTTAAATCCGCTTCCAGTTTGTCAATACTCAGGCCCGTTAATAGTCGAAGTCTCTTGCGCCTAGCACGGCCGAAAAGGCCCATAATAATAGATGCACATATGGGGAGCCCCACGCAGTGAATCATTGACGTTTCGCGTGTCCCTACCAGCCCGTCCAAAAACCATGCCCGTGGGAGCTGACGGGAGAAGAGGGAGGCACACATAGTGTAACAGCGCTGGTAGCAAACGTGACCAGATAGATGTGTGGTAGCGGGGGGGGGTCGGTGCTGCTGGGGCTGGTGCTGTTGCTGCTGCTGCTGCTGGTATTGTTGCTGCTACTGGTGCTGCTGCTGCTGGTGATGTTGCTGCTGGTGATGTTGCTGCTGGTGGTGTTGCTCCTGCTCCAAGTGCTGCTGCTGCTGGTGATGTTGCTGATCCTGCTGCTTCTGCTGTTGCTAGTGCTGCTGATGCTTGTGGTGGTGGTGGTGCTGCACTTGTTGCTGGTGCTGCTCTTGCTGGTGATGCTATTGCAGCTGCTGGTGTTGGTGCTGCTAGTGCTGGTGCTGGTGCTGGTGCTGCTGGTCCTGGGTCTGTTGCTGGATGTGTTTCTGGTGCAGCTGGCTCAGTTTGAGACCAAGAACACATGCGGTTACGTAATTGGTCTACTTCTATTCTATTTCTCGTTATACTATATATACATACACATATACATCTCTATATATATATACATATACATACACACATGCATGCATGCATACATACATACATACATACAGACACAAACATACATACATACATACATACATACATACACGTACATACATACACATACATACATACACATACATACATACATCCATACATGCATGCATACATACATACATATACACATACATACACACATACATACATACATACATACATACATACATACATGCATACATACATACATACATACACACATGCATGCATATATACATACATACATACATACATGCATGCATACATACATACATACATGCATGCATGCATACATACATACATACACACATACATACATACATACATACATACATACACACATACACATACATACATACATGCATGCATGCATACATACATACATACATACACACATACATCCATGCATACATACATACACATACATACATACATACATACACATACATACATACATACATCCATACTTACACACATACATACATACACACATACATACATACATACATACATACACACATGCATGTATGCATACATACATACACACATACGTACATACATACATACATACATACACACACCTACATACATACATACATACATGCATACATACATACATACATGCATGCAAACATACATACATACACACATACAGACAAACACACATACATACATACCATACATACATGCATACATACATACACACATACACACACATACAAACATGCATGCATGCATACATACATACACACACAAACAAACATACATACATACATACATACATACATACACACACATACATACATATATACATGCATGCATACATACATACATACACACATACATACATACATACATACATACACATACATCCATACATACATACACACATACATACATACATACATGCATACATGCATACATGCATACATACACACATCCATACGCACACATACATACATACATACATACATACACACATACATACATACATACATATACACAAATACACATATACCCCTTCCGAGGGGCGCGTGGGCAGACTGTTGCGACAGGCGCGTGCCAGCGCGCCAGGGCCCGACAGGCTGCCTTATTCGGCATGGGCCTACACGCCCGGTGGCGCAGCGCACGTTTTACGCGTGTGCGAATGGTGGGGGGACGGCCAATACATGCTGCCAGAGTTCAACGACATCCTGCAGGTGTTCGCGCCTAAGGGCTCGGTTGCCTCCGACGCTTGGGACCCTGTGAGGGCTCCGGAGGCCACGAGGCCGCTCGCCCTCAAGAACTCGGAGAACAAAGCGGTCGCCCTCGTGATGAACGATTTCATCAAAGGCCCCATCGCTCGCGCCGCCCACTCGAGCCAGCAGGGCTTCATCACGGGGCGGAACTTTGGCAGCAACATCGTCCACATGGACGCCCTGGCCCGAGAGATGGCACTACAAGCTCCCATGCAGCTCACCAGCCCAACCCTGAACTGCTACGACTTCGGCGCGGCTTTCCCGAGCTTGGCACAGGCGTGGCTCTTCAAGGTGCTTGAGCGGTCCCGGTTCCCAGTGCGCTTCCGCGCCGCCGTCAAAGCTCTCTACACGATGGTGTGGGCCTGCGTGCGGGGGCCGTGCTCGCTGTTCCGTACTTTCCTGATCGCGGCGGGCGTGCTGCAGGGATGTCCGCTCAGTGGCAGCCTCTTCGCCTGGGCATTCGACCCGATGCTGCGGTGGCTCGAGAAGTTGCTGGCCCCGCGTCGGCATGAGTTTCGTCCGGGCCGCGCGTTTGCCTTCGCTGACGACGTCGGCATCATGCTGCCGTGTTTCACCATGGTTTGCCGTTTGCCGGGTGGAGCTGTTCTTCCGGACGTGCGCCCGTTGCACGGGGCTGAAGATCAAGCTCAAAAAGTGCGCGATGATCCCACTCGAAGGCCCGTGAACGGAGGAACTGAAGCAACGTACACGGCAGCTCCTCCGTACCTCGACGGACGCATGGGGGGATTTCCTGGTCGTGCCCTCTACCATCTACCTGGGCGTGCTCATGGGCCCTGGAGTGACGCTCATGGACGTCTGGCTCGCGGTGCTGAACAAGATGCGCGCCCGCATCGCCGATGTGGCCAACTCGGGCGCTCATGCGACTCCCGCGGTGGCCCTCTACGCTTCCCGGGTGCTGCCTCTCACGAGCTACCTGGCGCAGAGCTTCGAGGTGCCCGCCCACTTCCTGTCCAAGGAGCGCTACTGGCTGTGCAAAGTCATGCGGCTCCCCCCCAACACTGGCGGCGTAGCCGACCTGCTGGAGATGCACTCTTGGGGAGGACCGCGCGTGCAGTCGCTCGCGGCTGCCACCAGGGCTGCCATGATGAGGACGGCGCTGAAGACGCTAGCACACGCATGGCGGCCTGCCCTGGCGGCGCTCCAGAAGGTAGCGGCGTTTTCGCTGCCGCTCCCACTCGCGTGCCAGGGGCGCCTCTCGCCTGAGTGGTGGGTGCTGCCCAGCATCGCGGAGAGCCTCGCCGATGCCGCGGCCGGCTGGCCTACGTCCCGCAAGTGGGCAGCGCCGGGGAGAGACATGCGCCGTGGTGCGCGCGCCACTGAGTCCACGCGGCGGGCGCCGCTGCTCGTGCCGCGCTTGCAAGCGACACTGTACGCAGCCTCTCTTCCCTCGCTTTTTCCTCCGTCTCTGATCTCGCCTCGCCTGCGTCGCCGCACCTCCTTCTCCACCCCTGACTGGCAGCGCGCCAAGATAGACTTCGAGGCGTTGCAGCGCACCCTCGCTTCCTGGAGGGGCTGCGGGGCCACAGCTGTCCGGATACCCCCCCCGCACCCGGCCCTCACCCCTTAAATTTGATTTTGGGTCATGGCGGAGGGGGGGGCGGGGAGGGGGAACAGCCAATCGTCTCACACGCTTTCTCGCTCCCGGCAAATGGGGGCCGGCGGATGGTGCAAGTTCCCGCTGCATCGTTATAGCTGTAATAGCAAACGGTATAATTATGATGGTAACCACCGCCTGGGTCTATGCTGTAGTTCCACGTATTGAAGTTGTTGATGATGTTAGTGGCGTCGACGAAGTAAAAGTCAAAATTGTAGGTTATAGTGGATTTGAATGAAGGGTCTGAGTATATCTATCTTGTCACTTGCAGTGCTCATGGAATTACATGTGTAATCGTTGATGTAAGCTTAACCAGGCTAGGGGCATCGAAAACGCTGGGGCCACCAACGCCCCTAGACCCTAAGACCCGAGCG